TTATGTTTTCCATGTGAAATTTTTTGAATTTACTAAAGATGTTTTTCATTAATTGACTTGATTAATAATCCACTATAAGCATGTTCATTGCCCATCTAACTTTGAATCAATGAACCTAGTGATTTCACTTGATCTCGGGAGGCTAGCGTAGTCACTATGAAGGGTCTGATAGTCAATGAGATGCTATGATCATAGTAAGGTCTTTTGAAAGCCATGATATTTAGTTCATTTTAGATTGCCAATTATGCATTGAGTCTCATACTTTTTCTAAACTTTTTTCCATAAGGTGAAATGTACCTTCTATCAAATGCAAAAACTACCTATCTAGACATGAATGTCTCATATGAAAATTGCCATGCTATGTTATCAAGTAAAGTGTGGGGTAAGCCCAAAGTGTGAAGCATCTAGTCATTGCACAATATTGGGCTTCAAACTGATAATAGTTGAGTTATAGTGACCCTGTTCAATGCTAGTTACTCTATAGTACGAGTAAAATTTCCAAAAGCTAAATAGATTGCCAACTTGAGGATGCGCTTTTCAGGGAATGGCTAAAGCTTCCGACACCCCTTCATTTCATTGATTATCCACACGAATTGAGGTATAAGAGTTAAAAGAAGTACTCTAACGATGGCAAAGATAAAGAAATTCATTTTGTTCGACTAATAAGGGTCTAATGCTATAGCAAAGCACCCTACATGTGCAAAAGAAAATTGTGATGAGAAAAGCTAAGAAAATAAAAAATGTGTTTGTTGGAATGGAAAAGTACTAAAAGGGTATGTTGTAAACATGGTAGAAACATTTCAAGTTCTAAATCATTTTTCAAAAGTTTCGCCTATGTGTTTTGAGACTAATGTATGGTTGGTGGTTTATGATTGAGATGAGTATCTTGTTGTTCTTACCTATTGATGTGGTTAGATTTCTCTCATGCTATTGTTGACCTTGTAAGTTCACTTATGAACCACTACCTAAGATCAATGGTTGAGTGCCATCTTTGGTGTTCATTGAGTTGTATGATTGTGAGTAGTGTTTGCTTGGGGACAAACAATGTTCAAGTGTGGGGTATTTCTGATTACTCTTAAATTATAGTGTTTATCACTCCAATATTTGTTACATTTTCCCCATATATCTATACATCTTTAGTCATTTTTTTGCTTTTCAGTGATATAATACAATCAAGAATAACATGGATTCATCAATCAATCAGAAGGACGACGAGATTACAAGCTCCTTGACTCAATGGAGATGGATTTGGACTTTAGATGATCACTTTATGTCCAAAGGAATCAAATTTGGTAGTGTAGTAGGCTTACCATTGATGAAGGTCAAAGTGGGTCACCACCCATCAATTCGCTCCGAAATTAGATGAGAGGCTTGGCCTACAAGCAACCTAATCCATGAAAAAACTCATGGCGGTGGTGGCCGCGCTGGCCCAAACTCATGGAATCTTCTATAAGATGCTTACTTCGTTCACATGCTAAAGAAATTCGAGTTCAAGTTGTAAAAGGATGCTTTTCGCCGACATTTAGGAGAAACCCCTTAGAAAAATCCTTCTCTGATGTACTGTAAATAGGGGCTAGGCTATAGCTTTTATCTTAAAAACAACTTCGACACATAATCTGCCCTAGTCAGCTTGAGTTAGAAACCATAGGAGGGGAGAGATTACGTCATAGCTACATGGAGGTGTCTTCATCATTGATGGTGGTCTCATCGATCTCTTATATGTTTAGCTAAATCTATCATTGTTTAGGGATGTGAATTTCATAATGCTTTATACATCCACTTTCTATGATTTAATGAGATGGTTTGGTCATTGTTTATCTATGTTATTCGATGCTTATACGATTTGATGTCTTAGTCATGTGATGCTTTATGTTATTCGGATATCTATGGTAGACAGACTGGTATTGGTGGAGGCTAGTTGCCTATTAATGAAGTAGAGTCCCAAGGCAACTCTACAAAAAGGTGGGAAGCTGGACATTAGAGCATTCGAGACGGAGAGCGAGAATATGTGAGCACCAAAAGATGTTGAAGGGAGAAGGGAGAAGTTATGCAATATACTCGACCAAAGGGAGGGAGAGGGAGAAAGCCCTAATGTATACAATGGTGTGCACTCACCCGGACATAGCTTATGCAATAAGTGTGAGTAGTAGATTTACTAGTAAGCCCATTTTTTGCTTTGGAATACATCGCTAAGTAGAATTAAGTCTCTCGTGCATTATCAATGATATAGACCATAAATATGGTTCATAGAGTCCCTAAATAGTTAATGCGCAATTCATACTTCCTAGTTTGATTGATTAGTCTATTGGCATGAAGCGAAAGCATGCATTAGCTAGTCATAGTTATCATTAATGATAATTTATACTATTCTTATCAATGACATGTATCCATGCATCTATTATATTATGATTCCCTAACCCTTTCACTAAAGCATTCCTAACTGAGCTTTTGCCACATGCGAGAGGAATTATTAGTAGTTAATGCATGCTTTCACTTCATGCCAATAACTAATCAATTATAACAAGGAAGTAAGGATAGCACGTAGCTATTTATCATCTCTAAGAACCATAATGAATCAAGATTTGGTTCTCATGCATACATAAAAAGGTGATCAATCAATTAATACATGCATAAGGCAATAACATATCATATGAGTTTCATATGCAACTTATAATGATATTATGATAAGAAAGATTGAATAGAATAGATAAAGATAACATGAATGGACATAATCATATCATAAAATCGTAGATAGTTGTACATAAGTATCATAGAATTCACATCTATAAATAAAGAGAAGCTTAGCTAACCATAGAAGAGATACATTACATGATCGATGATGAAGACATCTCCTTGAAGGTTGATGATTCTCCTCTACGCCACCAATGAGGAAAGCTCCTCTCGAAGGTGAGTGTATCTCGTAGAACAAGTGTGGTGCGTTTGTGTGTTGTGTTGTGTCTGTATGTGTAAAACCTCTAGCCTAGATCCCTATTTACAGTACATGAGAGAGGAGTTTTATAGGCTTTTCCTCCTTGAATTCGGCTCTACCCATCCTTGTATGACTTTAACTAGAAGTCCTTAATTTGGGGACGAAGTAAGCAGCTTCTGGAAGCTTTTAGGGTTTTGGGCCAGCAGCAGTCAGACCCGTCATGGGTTTCTTTGTGGCCCTGAGTTGCTTGACCTTCAAGTAACCTCTCCATCCATTTGGACGCATCTTGATGTGCATGGGTCGATGATGGCTGGACCCGTCGATGATTATTTCCTCGGTTTGGACTAAAACTTTTCTGGTGGGCTCTTCTTGGGTTCATTTGAAAACTTAAGGGGTTTGAGCTCAATTGAACTTCGTTTGATATACGAGTTCCTCCTTCATCTTCTTGCAATTACCACTTTGATCCTCCTAATTGATCAAATATGTGATCCAAATCATCCTAGATTCCATTTTACCTTTAAAAGCACAAAACAATACCACAAAGGCATAAATAGATATTAAAACAGAATCTAGATCTCAAATAAGCTCATTTTGATCGTGTGTGTGCATCGAGCTTTACAATTTATAACTCGATCATTGACAATACTACTACCCAAATCTAGGACAAGTGCACTCTGGATCGGCGAAAGAGTATAGTGGTAGTAACCAAGGTCGTATTCCATTGACCTTTAGGTCTACTACTACTATTGCCCTCTACTAACTATCTAGTCAAACGAGTGGTTGGTGGTTTAAATGTGAAATAAACGAATAATGAAACAAAACTAACTAGGAGAAAGATCACAAGGATAGAATGTTGTTTAGGTTGAATCCCTCCAACTATATATTGAATCGGGTTGTAAACTATCGTCTTTTGAGGCGAAGGTCACTAGAGTGGGGGTCGGTGCTATGGTCATGTATCTGTACCCCCTCCTAGCCACACCCATCGGCCCATTATCACCTCGATCGGCTTTCCTAACTAGGATGGTGTCTACCTCCTCTAAATGAGTCTAACTCGTCCGCACACTAGTCAGGTGAGTCGATGGCCATGTACTGACCTCACTAGCATCAATAATGTGAGCTCCTAATAGGAAGGGAATGGTCACCCTGTTCGCCAATTAGGTCTCTAAATCATCTAACGCAGGTAGGAAGCACTCAACACACATCTACAAGAACTAACCTAAGGCTAATTGATGCAACATATCATGCATCCACACTCTAATTAGAAGCATTAAGCACTCTAATTGAACACAATCATACCATAGATTCATATGCAAGATATGAAAGTTTTCCTATCTTCTAAGTTGCGAGGAATCACTCAAGCTAGCACTTAAATTAATGGTCATGGACTTAGATACACTTCTAGCTAACTTCTTGGCTCAATTATCATGCAACCAACAAATCAACTAGAGCACTATGACTAGATTCCTTCAATTGGGAAAAGGCCCCAAGGCAAATGCGACTTCGACTCAATTGTCATACAATCCAAACTTCACACTACTTGTAGTATGTTCTAATCTTGACCTAAGTAGATGGTCAACTCTCATAGGTCAAGAACAAACAGTAACCATCTGCGCTTGGGGCGCTCCTTTTTATCTACAGAAGCTGTCAACTGAATCCTGGACAAAGACTCTCATTGATAGTGACTTACTCTATGGATAGAGAAAAATAGAAAAGCATCTCCTTGTGATGCCAATGCTCTAATCTTGCGGTACTATAGTATAATGATACACATACATATAAATCCTTCCCAGTGTTTCATCCATCATGCAGCTCGGCGCTAGCTAGCTATATATGACCTTGAGCAATTTGAAATGAGGCCTGCCTCTGATTGGGAATCAGTTTAGTTTTGACTGTATGTGTTGCTTTCCACAGCAATTATTGTAACAGAGGCAAGTTCAAATGACACAGAAATTGAAAATGAGAAAGGAAGTTGACCCACTAAGACTTTAACCACAACTCTAAAATACTAAGAGTTGTTAGATTCCGGTCCATGTTTGCTTGCAGAACCACCACTTAGACAAGCACAAGATAGTTGACATTGTCCATTTTCTTAGTTAGATGGGTAGAGCTCAACATTTGGTATCTGTCACATGCATCTTGTTTAACAAGGAAAGAAAGAGATGGGTCAGGAGTGAAGAGTGCTTTTCCTTACAGACAACCTAAAAAAGAACAGTGTTGCAGTCCAAAAACAGAAACCCAGTAGAAGAAGTGAAGTGCAAACAAAAAACAAGGAAATGGAAAATCAGAAACAGAACAGTTTAATTAAAACCTTTCTCACCCACTTTCTTACAGCTAGGGCTCCTTCTACTTGCATTTTCTCATCTTGGATCCAGTATGGCTAGCAGCACTCTTTGCCTCTACCATGCACTCTTCTTCTTCTTCTTCTTCCAGCTTGAACCTCGCTCCACCTCTTGGCTTCCCTAGTTTCTGCTCTTTCTTTGAGCAAGTACTGGATACATGCTTGGGAACACCTCTGCTCCAAGAAACAAAACCCTTCTTTTGCCTAGTTGGAATTTCAGATTGACTTGGGCCAGAAGAGGCATCTGAGACCATGGAGTCATCACTCTCTCCATCCTCATTATCACTGCCATAGCCACCACCATTTTTGTGATTCGCCTGTTTGCTGTTAAGCCCATCTCCAGAATGTCTGTCATGGATGAAAGAGCCAATGTAATTTGTCCATCCAGATTCAGTGCCTTGGCTCCCACCGATGTTCTTTGAACTTCCCAGACAATGGGAAGAAGAATCCATTGCTGCTGTGGCTAGAGAAGGAAAGACAGACAGGAAAACAAAAATAGAATGAAGTCTGCAAAACAAAGAGAGAGCAAGGCATTAGTCTCAACAAGCTGCATAGTGGTAGTTAAGCATATATAGTTATATTAAGTTCTCATCTCATCCTCATCCTCTAGCCACTCCACTATGGAATTACCAACTTTATATCTGTCCGTATGACCATTCATTTAAGACCTGGCAACTCATGTCATGTGCAGATGAAAAACTCCTTTCATAAAGGAAGATCTCACCACCTGTCAATCCTAGCACCATAGACTTCTCCTCCTCCTTCTCTTAGTAGCTTTTTTTCAGGCACTAGAGGACAAGGGCCATGGCCATGTAGAGTGAGTGTCTGTCTCATGAAACTGGACAATCTTCTCATTCTTAATAAATGGACTTCCACTATGCCATGGCAGCTCACTTTTCCATTTAGACCTTTCACCCTGACAAATACCCTCTCCTCCTTTACTCCCTCTGACCATTTCATAAATAACAAGAGAACCAGCTTTCAAGGTTTGCAACAACACAGAGAGAAAGGAAACTGGTGAGACCCTATTTTTCTTGCATTAATGGATAGAAGAGAGTAGAGCAGTGTCATCACCGTGTGCTTTTAGATTTTAATCTTTCTCCTATCTATAATTCCTTGTCCTGACATGGAAAAGAAATACCCAACTGGGATCTTTTGGCATTTTATACCGAGTTGGATTGGGTGTTCTTTATAGCAAAAGGGTCATTTTGTTCGTTCTTCTGCAATTAAATGTTTGCAGCTTTTGATGTATGCTCCAAAGTGGGGTCTATATCTCTTCCATTCTTTGGATTTTTTTTTTATATTTGCTAACAAATTCTGTCTGATCACAAAGCTGCTTCCAGTCCTAGTTAGATGGAAACAGTTGGATTCCATCATCAGTTAATGAAATTCTGATCTCATTTTGCCTTTAGGCTAGTCTAGTTGCTGGATCAGTACCTACAGAAGAGGTGAGGCAAGCTTCCTCCTCCTGGTAGCATAGCATCATTATTGTTCCCTTGTCACGGAGATGTTGACTACTGGATTTTAAAGCTAACCCACCCTGACAATGAACCAAAATTTGCTTTTGGAAGTTTCTCATGATGATTATTGCAAGATAGAAGATGAGCCTACTAATAATATAAACAATCCTTTTCAAATATGCTCTGTTCAGTTTTAATGTTAACGGTTTATTTGTTATCGGTTAATCGTTAACCAATTTGTGTTTTTCAATAACCGTACTGTTTATATAAGTCGGTTATGTGTACAGTTGATTATCGTTTATTTTGTCAGTTAGCTGGTTGACCATTGAGCAAGTACTTCGATTATTTCACATGTCCTTTATATTGACTCTCTATTATAACAAAAACATTAAAGAATTTAATTAAGAATAATCAACCCTTAAATTCCAATTCCAAATCTATAATATACATTTTGAGGACATTGAGATAGTGGTGATGGTGGCTATGATATCAATAATATCCTCGTAGTAGATAGTTCTCCTCTCCTTCCAACCCTCTATTTTTCATTCTTCTTGACTCTGTTCTATTTATTTTCTATGAGAAAACTTGTGTTTGAAAAAAAGCACATTTTGACTTCTTGAACAACGATTAACAACACAATTCAGATTTCTCCGAATAATGTTCTAACGATGGTGTTTGAGAATTTTATGGCTGCGAAAACTATGTTAAATTACACCTAAAGACTATGGTTACTGTTAAATTGCGAAGAAAAATACAAAGTTTGACATGTGGTGGCAAATTTTGATTTTGAGAACCTGTCTCTTCTCTTTATTTCTCATATTTATAGTCATCCGGTGTAACTGCCCTAGTAACTGTTAGCTTATTGGCTGCTCCAACCGCCTCGGGGGCCTCACATCACGTCTTGACAATTGCTAGCTTGCCAACTGCTCTGACCACCTCGGGGACCCCCATCCCGCATTTACAACCGTTAGCTTGTCGGCTTCTCCAATTGCATCAAGACGCCTCGTCCCATCATGGGGGCCTTGACGTCTGGTCAGGTTGGTGTTGAGTTGAACTTCACCCAAGTATTGCCACATCCACCTGACTATAAGGGGTTTAATCCTCATCGCGTTGCTTCTATGTTGAAGTCTCGATCACACCCTTGAAAGCTCCAATGCCTCATACTTAACTCCTTTGTTGTCGAATTCGCACCACCCTCGTCTCATTACCAAGCCCCCCTCATTGGCTTTTTATCCCCGTCCTTTAGCCACATCCATGAACACCTTTATGGGATGAGAACTTAACTCTTTTGCTTCTAAGTAAATGGGCCTTTACCTATCAAGTAACTATACTTAGGGGTCATTTGAACGAGGAATTCTAACGGATCAATTTGTTCCGATTGTTTCGTTTTGAGATAATCTGGCTAAATTGATCATTTTGGCAGCACAAAATTTAGATGAAGCAATTCTGACTGGGAAAATTCAAATTGACTCGTTTTGAGGCAATTACAATTGTCTGGGGTGGGGGCAGACAATTCGAATTGACTCGTTGTAAATGACTCATTTTGTAAAATGAGACAAATGGCTAAATTGTCTCGTTTTTCAATTGATCCATCCAAACGACCCCTTAATCTCGGATAGCTTGACATGGTACCATCTTATCGGTATGGTACAATGTATTCTAGTCAGTGTTGTTAAACCCCTATCGAACCCCCGATTGGACCCGGTCTGACCCGAGTCGAGCTTCAAAACAACCTCCAGAAAGCCTCTTGGTCTGACCCCTAAACACGGAGAAGAAGAGAGGGGGAAGAGAGGAAGAGGAACGAAATAAGGGATATGGTGGGTGGGTCACAAAGGTTAGGTAGATTTATTTTGTGAAAAATAATTTTTTAATAGATATATGTAAGATAAATTTTATTTCAGCCATTAAATATTTAATTACTACTTGATTTGTACATATATTTAGTACACATCTAAAATGTCTAAAATCGGTCGGATCCCGATCAAACCATTAAACCTCAAACCCTTTGCTTAACCGACTCAATGACTTAAACCGGTTTGACAACCTTGATTCTAGTTCCACATAAGCAAAAAAAAAAATTACCAATACATAAATTAACTCAATACTCCATTTGAAAACACAACTTCCAAACCACCCCTAAATTCTCCATTTTCTTCGTCCTGTCCTGAAGATGGAATTTGGTTGGTTTTGTTCTTCCCATTCTTCCTATGTTTTTTTCACGCGCTCTCATGTTCTCTATCATTATTTTCCTTCTAAGGGCTAGAGCCTAGAGAAGAAGAGGACAAAATGATACAAAACCAATTGGCATCTTTATCCAATCTTTCCCAGGAAAGCTATGAAGATGAAAGGATGGCTACCCAAAACTTTCACTTGTTAAAAAATGTTGAAGAAAGTTTCTACAAACATAAGTCCATAATTCATTGGCTTACACTTGGAGATTCTAACATAGCATTTTTCACAAGTTTGTGAAAATTTAAACAGCTATAAAAACACATCTGCAAGCGTGTGTTACCAACTGGTGATGTGGTGAGTGAGGTGGAGAAAATTGCACATAAGTTATCAAATTCTATCAAAACCTCTTTAGGACAATGGACCCAATCCTAATGATAGAAGTCTTTACAATCATGTTTAGCATAGAAACTAAATCAGGAAGCAGGGAGCATGTCATATGAAACTGTAACAGATGAAGAAATATGGACTGCACTATTTTCCATGGATCCTGACAATGCTACAAGGCCTGATGGATGGACGGTACAGTTCTTTCACACAAGTTAGGATGTTATTGTTGTGGATGTTATTGGCTGGATTCAAACTTGTTTCATCAGTTTTGTGTTTGTTGTGCAATATTAGATGTCAATATTTTGTATTGCCCAAAGAAGTTATTATTAAAGTTGAGAAGACATGTTCTGATTTTCTCTGTTTTGGAGCAGAAAAGTTAATCTGTTAACTTGAAGATTCGTTAGCAGATACTAACTGATATCCAAAATACATGAACTAGTATTCAAGTACTAAAGTATCTAGAGAGCACAGACTAGTATTCAAGATTTACTAACTGATATTCACCATGAATCGATTATTATCCCAAATTCACAAACTAATATCTAGACAACACAAAATAGTATCCATATAACACATAATTATAGTATCCAGATAACACATAAGAGTATCCATATTAAATACTAGTTGGTTTGATCGTGGATATTAGTTGGTAATTGATTGGTTGAATACTAAGTATGTGAGTTGGATACTAGTTTTGTGATGTTTTAAATACTAGTCTGTGTTGTTTAGATACTTTGGTAAAATCAGCAAACTTGGATACTATTTTATACATTTTGTATATTAGTTAGTATATACTAACAACTTATATAGTTAGCAGAATAACTCTATTGTTTTTGGAGATGGTTCTGGTAAAATTAAGGTTGCTTGGGGGATTCTTACTACACTAGTTATGAAAGGGGTTTCAAGTTTAAAAAACGTACCCATCTAAAACATAGCTTGTGTTGTTTGACTACTATTAATGAAGAGTGGTTGCTTCAGGGTTGCCTGGATTGAGCTGTACAAACTCCAAGGTTCAAAAAGGCGCTAGGCGTAAGGCGAGCACTCGGCTCCTGACTTGCGCCTTGCCCGATTAAGCGTTGCATAGGCGCTACTAGGCATTTATAGCATAAATGAAAAAAAATTCAAATGTTTCCTTTTTCTGGAATATTCCATATGATCCAAGTTCATATAAAACTAGAAACACCTAGTTCTCAATGTTTAACACTTAACTTAACAAATAACAAGCACATAGTGACCATTTCCTAGAATCACAAGTTCAGAAAATGTAGAAATACTAAACAATAGAACGTGCCCACTTATCCATGGGTCCTAACTCGTTAGGTTCTGAACTACCAACACAAGTCATTTCTTCATCTTATTGACCAGAGGAACAATCACATCATCTCTTAACTCCTGTTCACGGGCAACCTTCTCTTTCTTCTTTTTTGTTGTATTCTCAAAGGCTTTCAAACATGCTTCTTTAGCTTCTGGTGGTTCCTTCGGGCATTTAAGCACCGAACTTGAATCTTGGTCAATATGATGCTTGAAGCGAGAGATACCTCCAGTACTCACATGGCCACAAAAATTACACCGCACTTTCTCTTTATTTTTTTGGATCCACCAATCTTCCATATTCTCAACCTATATCACCAGACTTCCTCTTGAAAGCATTGACATTTTCTTCATTTGTCACTCCTGGTGCCGAACCACTAGCATCATCCATTATAGAACAGAACCTATTTAAAAAAACAATAATCAAAATGCAAATGGCGTGAGGAAACACCAATCAATTAAAGAAACAAAAATAAGCCTCCATGACTCCATTAGAGCACGTTAAAAACACAAAATAGAGCTTTCTTCATTCATTACTAAAAATGAAACAAAATCATGCCAGAAAACAAGTTTTTTATGCGCCAGAAACACAAATCAATTGTTCGCCATTAGAGCACACGTTAGAAACACGACATGGACTTCTTGGCTAGTGAAATTGAGTGGATTTTGTTATTAAACAAAAGGAATCAAAAGAACCCATCATTCTCACAACCCTCACACGTAGTCCAATATTGCATGGCTTGGATTTACAGAAAACCCACCCAACTACTTCTATGTCTATCTATCATCTGATTCAAAGATAATCTATGAAAATGATGAAGGCAAAATAAATAAATA